GCTGTAAACATGTTTTTTTCTGCTGTAAAGTTGGGCATTTTAACATGGGGAGTCTATGGGATTGACTCCCTTTTGCAGCCAGCCTCTAGCGGCCAGTTGATGGATTACAGTTTAAGTCACTTCCGTGTTGGCTTCACGAGAGAGAGCGGGAGGTTAGAGCTGGGTCGCGCCACATCTTTAAAATTCAAATACATTATTTTCTATGAGTGTAGGCACACCGGCGGCGCCCAGCTACGTCATGTTATACTTGTTAGAATTGTTCTAGACATGCCGAAAAATTTACGCTACAGCGCAGCAGCTCTTCTTCTTCGTTTTCTCTGATGCACTAACTCTGCAGCAGCACTTCTTCTTCGTCGTCTCTGTTGTGTTCACAAATAAGTGTTGTTTGATAATGCATTGAGTTAGTGTTCATTTTAAAAAAACGAAATATCTCCCTTTGGAGTGCACTTTGAGATTTGTAACTTTCTAGATCTTTTTTATGCCCAAACATACACACTACACACTGACTAAAATTAAAAAAGTGAAAAAGCATAATAGGACCCCTTTAAGTCGTTATCACGACAAAACAAGAAAGAAAAAAAGAAAAATAATCCATGGCTTTTAGGACTTCCATACTTTGGTGGACACAAGGTATTGAATATTTATTGTTAGGCATATGGCCTACTAGTCTTTTTTGCATTTATGCAATAGGTACTGGAGCCAAACCTGAGAAAGTAGACCAGAATATTCCACTGCGTTCCTGGACACGCAATTTGCATAGCTGTAATTCATAGGCGGGGATTATGCTAATTGTGAATGAGCGTGCACGAGCGCCCCATTTACGAATGATTGCAATTCAATAACATACACGTTTAACTAACAAATCGGACGTTTACGAAGCGTTTGTGTCTGTTTTAAGAGCGAATTACTCATAATTTACTCATATATTTACGCAAGTTTCATGAATGAGGCCCATTATAAGGATGTGAATTGGATTAAACATGATAATTTACAATAAAACAAACAACAAAACCCCTACAAAAGTCTGTTAAAGTCGTAATCATTTATGTAGTACAAAACCGTAAAACAACACTTTGCTACTAAACAGTCACAATGAATCTGACTGA